TAAATCGTCTTTCTTCAAAATCAGAAAGGAAGTCTCAATACTTATGTCAATAATTTGAACAAAAAATATCAGCTAAGATCAGATTTAATTAGTGTCAACAATTTCTTTCTGGCATTTCAATTTCTTTGTGATAATGGCTAATTAAGTTGGATACGAACCCGGTTTGGTTGGACAAACACAGGTATCTCTCTTTCAATTAAGTCTATTTACCTTGAACCACCTGCACGACAAGTCGCTTGTTATATTTTCGCAAAATCAATTCCGATGAACGCGGAAATGTGGCGTGGAATTTTATAGCATTTTGACGACTGTTTCCAATTTCGTGCACACGTAAAAGATTTTACGATATCGCAACAAACCGGAGTGAAATTAATGATTGCTAATGATAACGTTACAAGGTTACTATACGTTTAATATTATCTATAACAAATGTAGGTAGCTACAGTAAGAAACCGTTTTCAAACACAATTATATAACAAATGGCTGTCTTTAAGGTTTTCAATTTGACTAAAAATCTGGCAAAGCAAGAATGATTGCGCTGTACGTATCATTTATAATTTCAATTTTTGTTAACCATAATAACTGTAAAATGAGAGATTATACCACTGGCATAGCCTATTCGAATCAATCGTTTTCAACAAAAAGCATCGATAAAGCTGTCAAACTTTGACTTCGTATTTCGGAGATAGATCTCGACCAGTTCAATAATGTAAAGAATGCCGCGATTATCCAGATAATTCATTAGTTATGATAATAAAATGTCTAACTTTTTTGGAACGTGGTATTTATTATGGTTTGATAGCGACAAATAAAAAGCAAGTTCCAGTTTATTAAATGATAACAGCAGTGGGTGTACGAAATAGAGGAAACAAGAGTTAATTGGTAACCTTTTCAGTAAATTACACTGTAGCAAATCGTAGGGGTCATCAGACCGAAAACTGCAGTTACTGAAAATTGCAAATCAATTCGAAGTTCAGTTTGTTTCATGACACTTTTGATTAATTAGCACAAATGTTATTAAGTAACAAACGGTGGGTGGATCGATACTTTTTTTTCGTTGTAACATCGTCAATGCATATGTGCACATACAATTAGTCAGTAACATTAGGTATGGTTAACTGCAAGATGGATAATTAATATGAGGCCGTAGTAGATAATCAAATAAACGAAGACTCGTCCAGGTGAAACAAGTCCAATACAGGCCATAAAATTTAAGGACTCTCCAGTTTTGCGATGATAATGTCTACATAAGAAGTGAATACAACACGTACAATTGTTTCTAACTACGAACAATTTAATTGATTTGTCTGCAATATACTTTGTTCATCATTTAACATAATGCTACCAATTTGATAAAAAGAAGTATTATTCACTTAGAAAATACGAAGATTAGCTTAAGACAGGAAAGAATGGAGGTACGTGTCCAACCACTCTTAAGACTGACGACCCTATGATGAATATTCACTTGACAGTGTGTATTAGCATACTGTTTTTACATAAAAGAGTACTCATTTCATTAGATTGATGATGTGTTCTGGTTGGACTATTATTATTATTGTTTCGTGGCTCTGTAGATGGAGAATAAATTGTGATTTTTTCATTATCCGGCTCGAAGGACCAAATGTTCCGTGACTCCAAAAGCGAAGAATAAGTTGTAATCAACTTTATTTATAACATTTACACACATTAAGGAAATAAAAAACGTAAACATATGAATCCCAGTGTTGGACATGATATTAATGACATTTTATCGACAATAATAACCCCTTCTACGTATATACACCGATTAAAAGTTGATAAAAAGGTAAAATACATAGCGACTAAAACAAAGCTACGATGGCTAAGTACATTAAACAACTGTTATTTAAGTGACTATGAGAAAGACGTATAATTTTTGTGAATTTGTTTACATAATAATGCCCAAATAGCAGCCAAATACGTGTAACATGCGTATATGTAAAATGTTGTTTGACATGCACCAGTTATACATACACACATTGTTTGCAATGCTTAGTTTTTCAAGTTAGCTCCAATAACATAAAATAGATACCTATTATTAAAAGCAATACTTTGTAATACATTCAATTATAAAATAATTTACATTATAACGTGTTTGCTTTGGCAAATTATATTAGTAATTGGGAATCATGTCCGTTGAATATTACATTCCATTTGGATGGCTGTCGTGCTTTTCACTACAATCAGGGCACAACTATTTATTTACCATTACGGATGCATACATATGTGTTGCTACAACCAACTACATATGCAGTAGCTGCATACGTACATTGTATTTATTGATTTGTACCAACATACATACGTAATAAGCACCTTTGTATGTCTAGTTGGCTCGGCTATGTTGGTATCATCTCTCCGTAAATATGGTATGAATATTTTGCTGTAAAGCTGATTGATTCCACTAGGTCGTGATTAATTATATTGTTACCGAATTTCGAATAACGAATGCATTACCTCTAGATTCAATCCGGGACTGCAGTGAATTTTGAGTTGGATGAACAAACAACAAACCCTAACGTAAATTCACACACCGTACCGTCCTCATGCCTTGCTTCTGCCGTACCCTTTCGTTGTCCATCACGTTGAAGTTATGTGGAAACTGTCTCAACCGCTCACACACATGATGTTAGCCTGATTTGCCCCTACCATGGGGCTGTCAGGTTGCTTCTCGAATAATCAGATGTTCCACAGACCACGGCGGTCGCAGCTTTTGTTTAATTGATACTTTTTGGGGTGTACTGATGTTATTCTGATTCGGATCTAAAGACCGTCGTATATTGGAGTTGCTTCCTAATGCTTCGCAAACACTAGTAACGGATTATTTTTATGCGTGATTGTGGGAAGGGGGCGAAGCTTGCTCCAGATTAATCAATCGTAAAATGTCGGTAGGTACCGCTCGAGTGTTCCTATGGATCGGATTCCAAATCTGGTTGAGTCTGATGGTCTATTCCTTGTTCAAGTTCTCCGGAAATTTTAGGATTTCGATGACCTCTCCTATCATTCTACTATGAGCAGTATCCTGGTCAACAGCTTGCTTTGTGCTCCTTGAGTCTCGTTCCCATCGATGTCTTAATGGTTTCTATGTAGACTTCTCCGCATGAACAGGGTGTGCATCAGAATTCTGAGACTAAAAGGGGGTCCTTTTTGTCCTTTGATGATCTTCTGAGCCTTCTTTTCAAAGGTTTGAAAATGATTCTGAGATCGTGTCTCTTCAGGACTCCGACAATTCGGTCCGTAACCTTTGGAACATATGGTGGACATGCTATAGAGGCAGTGCGTCGTTCTTTGATTTTTGGTACCTTTAATCACTTCATTGATTTCTCGATCTCCCTCTTTTTCTAAACATTCGCCTCAAAGGCGGTCTTGCAGTGTTCCAGTTCCGCCAGGAGATTTTCCGGTTCTCAAATCCTTCTAGCTCGTTCAGTTAATGTCCAGATGATGTCATACTTCTGGCGTGGATGGTGGTTGTATAAGGTGTACAGATACCTTTCCATGTGTGTACATCTTTTGTATACCGTGTGGTCCAATTTATTGTCTCGTTTCCTCACTAAGAGGCCCAAGAGATGTTGATCCTTCTCAGTCTTCATGCTGACCTGGATGCTGGGGGTCTGTTCAGGTGTTGGAGGAAAGTCAGCTTAACCATTCCATGTAGTTGGTTTGTACTCCGAGGTCTCGATTGCTTCTCAAAGTGTTCCATGAAGAGATTGGCTATGACCGAACTTAGTGAGTTGCTCATTGCTACTCCATCTACTTGCTAGTAGAAGTCCCCCCCTACACATGAAAAGCTTACAGATGTTGATAGGGGAGATCTTAGTTACTTAGTCAAGGCACCGTCAACGGTACCTCTGTGAACAACGAGACGACGTCGAAGCTTACCGGGATGTCTTCCGGTGGAACAGCTTCCGTCCTCAGAATACGCTTTTGGCTGTCTTCAAGTAGTGATGATAACTTGATGAGTCGTTTAACAAGACGTAGTCTTGCTTGAGTTGGGTCTTTCTTGAATGGTTTGTAGCCTTCCAGGTTCAAGAGTTCCTCAATCTTCCTGTTAAAGTTTTCGATCTTTAGAAGAACGGTTGAATTTCCTTTGTCGACTAGGAGTATGATAATATCTTCATCCCTGTTTAAGCTTAGCAGTGCCAGTACTTTATTCCTCGTCAGATTGCTTCTAGGAGGCTTTACCTTCCTGAGGATATTGGTCGTCTCGATCCGTTTTCCTTCTGCGTCCTCCTTCTGTGGATGCTTGGTAGCTGCTTCTGTGCTAGAGATGATGTCTTCAAACGGAATGTGGCAAGGAGTGATTGCGAAGTTTCCTTCTTCGGCTAGCACTATCGTCTTCGTGAGCATCCCCTCCGTCAGATTGACCATCAAGACTTCGTCTTCGAAACTAGCATCTTTTAGAAATTCTCGTACTTCCTGATTTGCTGCTCCCTGGTACTATCCAGTACTGTCAAGTGCAAGCTAAAATGTTTTTCATGCGTCTTCGCCAAGCCACGATGCGTGCTGTGGATTGGTTCTCAGAGATACGCCTTCTATGTCCTGGCATAGATCCTGTTAGCGTGTGCTGGAGTCCTGGCAGCGGCATAAGAACGTCAAAGTAGTGAGTAAGTGTGCCTTTCACTTCTTTACTTTGTCCAGTCGATGATACTGCTTACATGTCTCCTCCTCGTAGAGCCGTCAGACAAATTGCTAAACGTTTCGCTAGCATGAGTGGCGGGCTTCGTCAAAGGTCCTTCTATCTCCGATGCTGGATATGGACCGGCGATTTCTCCTGCGCAAGTTGTATGTTGTATTCCGAGTACCTTTACCAATTTGGGATATGTTCCGTTTTGGTTATTTATTATTTACTGCACAAGTTTAATAAAGGAAAAATAGTAAGTCGATATTAGATATACCCACATAATTGAATCATCAATTTGAGCTACCCCGAACTTAATTACAAACGTAGATTAGTTTGGTAAATTAACAGAGTGCTTTATTTTCAGATGCTCTCCAGTTTAACACCGTTTTTCGTGACTGAAAACTGTTTGCCGTATTTGGGGTAAGTGGTTAATTCAATATTTGTTAAAACCTCTATTTTTTTGCGTGATCAAGTCTCTATTACATTAGCCCATTGCTTCAAAAAATCCATTTCATACACACAACTTCATCAAACAACTTAGGTACACTGAGGATTTACAAATGCGACATCGGTATATTATATATTGGATGTTCACTATATATATTGAAAAATTTGAAGAGGTTGTTCTCTGAAATATTATAGGAATATTTTGTGCTTAATGATTTTTTGTTTATTAAATGTTCATGTGAAGCTTCCTGTTGTTCTACATGAAAATCGGCTTAATGGGCTATCTATCTGTAGAACTATCAATAGAAGTAACTTAGATGTCAAGTTCTGTTTACACAATTTTAGTTTAACAGAACCTATGGTACCCGTACCTACCTCTCATAGAGTGAGAGAGAGTGGTAGCACTAATAGAAAGCGGCTAGGTCAACTTCAGGGCAGTGGCGTACGCTAGCTACGACTCTGTACTGCAGGCCGGTTTTTCGTGATAAAAACAGTTTTTAATAAAGAGCACTTTTGTGAATGCATACCGCTTTTATTACACCAAATAGATAGAAACGAACGACGAAGTTTTAATTTGATTTTCTTTGTACCTGCTACGTATTTTAGTTCGTAGTCGGAGAAATTTTAATGTTTTTCGCTGAAGCGGAGAAATTTATGAATAAACAGCGAGACGCACTAGCGAGATTGTCATTATCACAATTTCGTCAGACTCAAACTGTAAAGTTTATATAAGAGGAATACTTTGCATCAGTGCTGTACACGGTGGTTTGTATACCTAATGAATATTAAAATTTTGTCAAATAGAACCTAACGAACCGTACTACGTCTGTTTGTCACATTTGTGTCAACTGACAAAAGCATTAACCAATTATATACCTACTTCCGGCGTACATGGCTCTAGGCATTGACAATTGTATTAGGTACAATGGAATTATGCACGTACCTATCATTGTTTGTAGTCGAAAATGATTCTAATGAATATTCAAAATCGACATGAAGGTTTTATATGAAATTTCTTTATCTAATGTAAGACGGTATACAGTTATAACTTTACTTCCGGCATATGCAACTGTATAGGCATTGAGTTAAGCAGTAGTTGTCGTGTTAATTTCAATTACAAAATTCTTTTCATTCCTGAAGTTCATATAAAATTACTTGAAAAGTCCTTAGCTCTAAACTATTTGATACAAGATGCAATAAAGAAGAAATAGTAAAAATCACGCATTTGTTTGATGATCTTCTGGGCTTTTCTGCCGTGGTCGAATCCTGATTGTAGACGTTTCGTCATGCTTAAGTATCTTCAGTGTTTCACGATGTATGATCGGCGGCTGAATGAATTGAGATATAGATGAAGACGTAATCTATTAAGATCTGCATCATCAATTAGACACCAACCGTGAAAGTCTACGAACTAACGCATTGGTTTGTTATTTTCTTATACTTAGATAGATATCAAGCTCTGTATAGTTACCTATCGCTTTTAGTTCTGTACGAAACTCTCAAACAGAGTTATTTATATACATGAATCAAACTCAAAATCAATACACAATAGTTATGTGTACGTCAACGATGTATTGTAATCCAACCAAGCAGAAGCCACACGTCTCTATTCAATTTTCAACATTTCTTTATACACTCCGTTGATTCCTTTGGACTTTGAATTACCCAAGTAATCGTGAACGAATATTTTATGTAAAAGCTAAACGGGAGTGCAACCTCGAAAAGTTCATCGTATATTTTATGAAAGACCTGGAAAGTATGGAAAAGTCGAAAAACGCTTCTTAACAATATCTAAAGAATTTCAAAAGTTTTATATTCACCTGATGTTGAAAGAACCAACTTTTTATTAACGTTAACTACAATGCGTACTTCGATTATCCATTATTAACACTAAAATGTGACGTGCTCCCAATAACCGAAATTTACTAAGAAAAATTGTAATAAAAATCTAAAAATAATTACCAAATGAGCCCAAACTTAATGGGACTACTATCACCCATTAAAAACCACCTTTCAACTCCATAATCAGTTTGGCTCAATTGTAGCGCCATGTAGCACTATTTAGATTGACGCCGATTTTGCTCCTGAAACGATATCGACGATCGCAGTCATACAAAATTAAAATATTAAACGTGTTGACGGTTTTCATGTTTAGTAAATTGAGTTGAATTGAGAATAAGTTGCAGAAATGCTCCACTATTTAAAGAAATGAAATATCACCAGAAGACTCTGGAAATATCTGAATAGCGGAACTTCCTGTTGGAAAGCATTGTTGGCTCTTCCGCTTGGACATTTCTGTTGACATAACGCTATCATCAACTATTATAATTGTTGCGTTTGAAAATAGTTATTATTAATTATGGAATTGAATCGGTAAGCAAGAAAGGTAACACGTTTTCACCTCCCTAACTCGGTCCTGGTAGTTGATTGCTCTCTCTCCCGAATCTGAATGATGATTTAGTGTTTTTACGATTGCTAATTGACCTACTAACTGTGTGATAGGTTAGATGTACCTACTTACCTACCTACTGACCTTGTCCTAATGATCTAGATTGAAAATTATGGATACTACATACTTAACACTATTAGAATTGTCAAACTTTGATGAACCAACTAATCTAAAAGCTGAAATTGTAATGGTTAAAGCTTTGTGTATCTATAAAATCAGAGTTTGCTGAAAATTCGAAGTAGTTTGATTAGCTTCAAACTGCAAAATAGGGTGATAATAATTTACAAGCAAATCAGAGTTGCAAACTTCAAAGCAACTCAATTCTGCTTCAGGAAGCTTAAGATCCTTCCATTCTGCTTCCAATTTGAGTACTGCCGTAGGTGGAGCGACCGATCACCGCCTGAAGCTTGAAACAGTCTATTACGCTATTTGTTTGTTTCAATAACTAATCATTAGAATTCGAACTGTCGTCGTTCCAGTTAACGTTGCATCTTGTCAGCTTATTTTCAACGCTTCAGGCCTCGGTAGTTATAGATCCATCCAAGTTTCTTCTGTAGGTAATTTATCGAGAATGTTATAGCAGTACCTTCAGATCAAATATGGGTTTCAACGTTCTTACTAGTAATTTATCTGATCACGATTTCGACCCAATCACCCATGAATGCCGTGTCGCAAATCCAACTTAACAGGTACCTACTTAAAAACCTTTGTGGGTACTACAGTTAGTGGAAAATATTTATAGGTAGATGGCGACATATGCTCTCAATTGGTTTATCCTTACGTTTTTCATTTACCTTTCTTTGCCATACTCGTTTTAATTATAGAATTTCATCTTTAGGTACTTCATTAAACGCCTCTTTTGCCGATAACGCTTCTAACCCTCTATTTCGATAACAAAAGGGTAACTGTAGTTAATACACCCTAAAAATTTTTCCATCATCTATTACGTCATTGCGCTATGCGCTGCAGCGGTCGTTATCGTTAATGAAGATCTGCAGGTAGTCGCGGTATTATCTCGGGCTTTAAAGCAAGGTAGCCATGAAAAGTATCAGATTTCAGGAAATAGCGGCAGTAGCAACGGCGACGGCCACGTCCGAGTACGTTGTTGATTAAAGTTCCGACGATTTTGCAGAGAGGGAAATACTATGAACACCGTACCTACCGTTCAAATAAAATCCAGCGCAAGCATTACCGCTAACGAGCGGGAAATTCGAAACTCGAAATCTATACCGTTGAACAAACAATTTCGAGGGATAGGAAGAGACCTCCGGGCGGTAACTACGGCGTGATATTTCATCTTTAAAAGTATTTTAGTGGCGATCAAGGCAGCCAACATAAAGAACAAAACTGCCGTTGTACCGTCGTTTATCAAACGATTGGACCAGGTTGACGTGATGGTCCGGTGCTGGACGATCGAACGTTTCGATTACATCGCAAAAAAATAGCGATTACTTCCTTCGTTTGACAAAAAGTACCTTGCCAAAAGATTTACGGCACATAAAATGTGGATCCTACGTTATTAAATACTTATTACCCAAATAATAATAAAAAAGAATCGCACATGTTTTACGGCCAATCTTGGCAATTGTGGTACCACAAATATAATAGTCACTGTTTTTGATGACTCAATTTTCTGAAATAAAATACTGTTATAAATCAAAGCATATACGAAAGAGTACAAAACTGATGGAACTACAACTACTATTGATAATACGTACATATAATTTGGCATTAACAAAGATGTGTTTCAAGCAGAATAAGATAGATACTTATTTCTGAATTCCATCCCTCTAACTGGAACAGGTTGTTGGGAACAGGAAAGAATTACACAGCTGCAAGTGTATGCTAGGAACAATTCCTAGAACTTATGACCCCATTAACGTTTTATGGACGGTACGAAATCCTTTTCAGTTTGAACAAGCAATAAAACAATACCGTAATGTACTTGATCGCAGATTCGAAAGTAAATTAAATTTCAATACAACAGCTCCAGATGTTTTGTAACCGTAAAGAATCAGAAACATCTTTTGATGAATTGGTAGTTTCTGTCACTATCACACTTTATATGTTCATGTCATAGGTCCTTTATGCAGTCAGTTCAAAATGGAGGACCTTATTAGAGGACATTCATAGCAATGTTTAATTCCACATTGACCTGCTTTTCGCTTGTCTTATTGTTTGAGGACTGACTTTTACGTTATAATGAATGAAGCATTTTAACATAAATAATTCAAGCAGAATGCCGTTGAAATAAATATAAAGTTGTTTTTGTGTTTGAAATATTAAGTAAATATTTAATTGAATGAGTAGCATCCGACCTCTGCTAGCATTTCCCTCCTACTTTCTTTCTTTTGAAATTAATGTAGTGTTCTAATTTGCTTTTGAATTGGTAGAGTACCTTCCACGGCTCCGGATAACGCTGGCGCTTTTAATGGCAATAAATTTTATTCCACCGCCGTTTCTTCGGCTATAACAGCTAGAACGAACAGCAGCTGTGAGTTTCACGACGAATTGAAACAAAGATATCTATTTGTACATCGTTTAGAAAAAGTGTTGTAAATTTATGCGCCTTCCCGTACCGACAACTAGTAAAACATCGAAGACCATCACAACGATCATCTACAATGTTAGAAAGGCCACAATGTGAAGTCTGTGTTGTGTTTCTTCAGTAGATATGGTACGGCAGTTCTAGCGGACAATCCCTTGTTTTGTTTTTTTATTCCTTTTAACCTCCTTTACTAACTCCGATTCATAGGGCCCATTACGCAGCCGCTACTGCCTGGTCTGATTTCCAATACAGTTTTTCATACCGCCTTCAGATATTTTTGCTACTGCTTGCATTTTTTGACTAAAAAAATACTGTGGATGTAGTCAGGCTCGATTCGCAGTAAAACGCTCACCATTGTTGGTCGACCAACGGAAACATGGGATTTTTGTGCCAGAACCGGCGTAGTGTATCTACTTTCTTCAAAAATTTACCACTGCACAACGCGTTCCTAACAATCGATATTAATGTAGTTATGATGAGGTATAATAGACACGTAGCAATATCAAAAAAATGTTATTAACCGCAGATGTCATTCCAAAAGCATAAAGTGCAATTCTAAACAACATAATAATAACTGAGAATCATTCATCAACATCATAATAAATGTCAATTCTAATAATAAAAGTCAATGGTCTAACTTTTAATATTATTATTAGGTACGCTTAATGTTTTACATACACATACAAATATGTTATCCATCGCCGACCATCATAAAAAAGCTAATTCGTGGTTTTCACATTGCTTTATAATTATATTTATATATTTATATGAAGCTTGTAAAAAATATAACATTGACTGGTTGTTATTAACGAAAAAATACAACACCTGCTTCTGTTTCGGTTATTATTTAGTGTGGAAAAAACCGTTTCGTGTTTATTTTTTCTTAAGGAGTTTCATTAATCACCCGACCCTGTAATTTATCTTTGTACTAAATGTGGCAGGCTTACATGCCAAATAAATTTGCTAAAATACAGGAGTGAAGATTTATGATTGCTTTATTTTACAATTATTAAGAAACTGCGCATGAAAACAAGAGTGAACCATATTTAAAGTAGTACTGACAGAAAATCAATTTCAATTGAAACTATTTTTGTGTATTACAGATATCATTTTTGACAGAGTTACTCATTTTTGATTAAATAGGGAATGCTGCAATCTATTAAATCATTCAGACTATCAGTCCGAAGACTAGTTCCACACGTATCCCCACCTCCCGTTTTGAGTCAATCTTCGTATTTCTTGAAATCTAGAGCAGTCTATATACATCTTTATCTATTTGCAAATAGCAATCTAGGTCTACTTTTACCCCTCTCAACTCCTACTCATACTTCCAATATGATCCTATGAGGTGCGTAGTTAAGTAGACGGGGTACTGAATCATATCGATTATCTGTTCATCAGCACCATACCAGTTTTGGCCTTAAAAATGTCTTTCTATATCATTCTTTACCTGAAAAGATTGGTTAGAATACACCCGCTTTAACAACAACACGAAAAGTTCTTGTTGAAAACCTTCTACAATTGTCGTAAATCCACAAACATACACCCACTTTTGCAGACATCTGAAAAGTATGATATTTATACAGAAAATTCAAATAGGCCCACTGACATTTTCCGCCAATTTTAGAGTGTTATCAACAAGAGCAAAGGGGTGTGTTCTGACGTCTTCAGCTAAAGAATGACATAGAAAGATGTTTGTTCTGAGGGCCAAAATGAAATATGATGTTGATGGACAGATCATGGACATGATCTAGTACCCCGCCTACTTAACTACTAAGGTATCTTGCCAACCTATCTCCCTAATTGTTATTGATATCCATAAAACCCTCTGTTCTCCTGTTCGTTATAATATCTCCCCATTTGCAATGTTTGGATGCGTACAATATTTAACGTCGTCCTATAAAACCACATCTGAAAAAATTTTAATCCTTTCTTTTGTGCAGCGCCCACCATCCACGTTTCACACTCATTAAAAGTGATGCTCGAATCATACCTATAAAATCGATTTCGACTTTCCAAATTAAGCGATTTGGAGCACATAAGCGTATCTTTTTGTTTAAATGTAGGTAATTGACCTGCCTTATTTTTTGTTGTATATCTCTAGCGCCTTTTTCACCCTGAAATATCTGATACCCTGATGAAAATGAAAAAGCAGTTACTTCTTCTCTTTTATTTATATTTATTAGTTTTAACTCTACATTTACATCCCTTCCATACGAATGTTTTTGTATTTTCCGTTACGTGGTGGTATTTATTTTCATTTAAGGGTGTTGTTAGAGGAAAGGTTTGCTTACCTGGGAATCGTTGCTGTGTAATTTGAGTACATAGCCGGGCAAGAGGTCCTTTCGTTTGTTAACGTCCTCGAGGGCCAAATTTGCGGCGGGTTCGCATGCCTGGCCGCCCTGCCATCCGCCCTTTCCTTTGATGGGAAAAATACCACCGATATGTAAAACGTTGCTACCGTCGCCATCAAAACCCCGCAGGGATACCGACCCGCTAATGTGTAACAACGCTACCCCAAACCATACTCTCCAGTTCTGAAACAAGAAAAGGAAGAAAGTTTATTCTCTCAGGAAAATACAATAGTGCATAAAAAAAATGAACACATGAATTTAAAAGATATTGTTTTTAATTTTTTTGCCTATTGGGGAAGTAAGAAACAAAAAAAATAGGAGGGACAAGAAAGAAGATCAAAATCATTTAGAAGAAGTTCGAAATACAAAGCTTATCCTCAATGTAAATAATATGTAATTTTGATCCTTGTTTATCTTTTGAAAGGGTATTTGCCGTAATTGTTTAGCTTCGTCACAGTTAAAGTAGTTCAAATCACACTTCATTAACTAAACGATGTCATTTTCATTTCCAATTTCCTGCTTTGCAAATGGTTGCCATATCATCACAACCACACTCGCATTTCTAAGTTACCTTGAGGGTATGCAGTTACCGTTTCGTTATTATCCGCGCAATCCAATTTCCACTAGCAATTTCTATTTCTTGTCGAGCTGATAACGGTATAATGTTATTATTGGAAATAGGATTTGAAAAGAACACAAAATTTTACTTAGTTATGTGCGATGTCAGAAACGACTACGCCAAAATTCCAATCCAACGTGGCGTTTTCGATATAAAAAGGAAAAGAGAACGCGCCAAATTGAGATAAATTGTTGAAGTATTGAGTAAAACGAATTCTCCATCTCGAAAATGATTTATTCAAATGAACATTAACTTTTTTATCGTGACTGATGCTTTCTACAAGTAAAGTAAGGCGGTTACAATTCGGTACTACGCAGGAAAACGACCACTAATTGCCGTTTCGGCTTTGGTAAATGTCTTCTTTTCTAAACTGTTTATGCAGCTTAATGAGTTCTTCCGGCCATGATTAATATTAAAGGTAATGTGCCGTTTCCTTAGATACGCCCTCTTTAGGAAAACGATGAGTCGATTTTGAAGTGAAAATGCGCGAACGGTTAACGGCTGGCGCTATAGACATATTCGGCTAAATATGCCTTTAAAAAACACGTGTGAAGGATCAAGGATGAAAGCTGGTCTTTATCAATATAAAATACTTTTCCATGAAATGGTCTCGTAAATTAAACAGAGAATTAAAACTGATGATCAAGTCTAAACTCCTAGGTGCACGATGATGAAGATGTTATTAGTATAGGTACGAAACCTTAAAAAGATGTCCACCCCACCTACAGGAGAGCTGCTCAATTAACCACTTCCATTATGTAAGTGCAGTAGAGGATCTTGTATTCTCTTTGAGTGTACAAGTTTGATTTTTGAGCTATTGCACTAATTGATTGCAAAATGAAAACATAAGAATATGCTCTTAATTCGTATATAAGAAAGTTTTATTGGTCTCTCAAGAAAAAACAAACAATCACTTCTAACTTTTTATCTTTGCTATGAAAATCACTTATAACCTCTTTCTTTCCAAGTGTCATTTCCCGACTTCTTTCCCAGGTATAATTTGATAGGCAAATTAATTATTCCGAGTATCGTAATCGATCTCAAGTTCAGAGATCTCTTTCGACGTGAAGCCGTAGAGGAAGTTCGACAAGCCGTTTAAGTGGTTAATCAAGACCTTCTACGAGTGGTTCGGTTATTTGCCCCGTTCTGATTAAAAAGGGAAGTGGATCAAACTCACTAGGATAACCATGCCAGTGAACTAACAGAGGCGATTGACTGTGCGCGAAGGTAAGTCAAACACATCCCAAGGGATGTTTGAAACGAATACGGAATATCTTATTTTGATTAATAATAGTTTAATAAAAGCTGGACGCAAGGTATCAACGTCGCCAAAAATACGGAATATTATCCTACCTCCTTCTGTATTCCAAGCATGTTACGCTTCTGTGTAGCCAGATAACCCATAAAGAATAGAAGGTAGATACAGAGGGGGTATGTGTTCTATGTTTATTTTAAATTAGGTCTTCCAGTTAGTACTTACAGAAATGTGGATCTAGAATATTTAATTGGAGGGTTCCTTAAGGGCGGATACGTGAAACAGAAGGGGTGGAAGTACACAAAAATTTTTGCAAATAGGTATGAAATATCTTGATTGATTTTAACCAAAGGTGGGGAATCTGTTTTTTGCCTTTGTTCTTTATCTCACTTTTCCTTTAAAATATGCAGATCGTGTCATCATAAGAATCAGACGTTAGTTCTACGTTCCTTTATAATAGAATTCGAACTTTCTTTCCGGAATTCTACGAAACTTTTTTTATAGCCCCTCAGGTATTATTTTTCACGAGCAAACACAATTTCCAGCTTTTTAAACATTTTTTCCCTTCCTAATCAAAAACCTCGCCGATGGCTTCACAGTAGCATCTTTCCAATGTAGCATACTTTTCAATATCTACTGCCTAAATTATGTTTTAATATTTTATCTCAACTGCCAAACGAATTTTTATCTTCTAACATTTTCAAATGTTATAAAAATACAGCGGCGGCGTTACCTAATGTAATTTTGATTGTAACTTCGTCATCAGTTTCAGTTTTGATTTTCAATTAAATAATCAAAAAAAGTAACCAATTGAATCAAATAAAATGAAGAGGTTGTTGTCGATTTTCAAAATTTATAACTAAAATGGAAAGAAGTTAACTGCAGCTGCTACTGTTGAGCATATTTCATTCAGTCCGTCATATATTGTGATAGTGTCTTGGATTAATTCTTCTCGTTCGGTGATCGGCGTCGGTCATTACAGATCGCTGCAATGAGCAAAGAACGTAGACAGATCATTGCTCCGTTTAACCGTTGACATCAAATGAGAGGGTGGGAAAGACTGTATTTCTAGCATCTTCAATGCAATTGAGCAACTATTTTAGTTTGACCACGACCTTCATTAGTATAGCGACAGAGAGCAATGCGTTTTCGTGTTTAACGTATGATGAAAAAATCAAGTGAAATATTAATTAATATAATGAAATTCGAACATGTTCATTGTCATAAAAATGAGTGAATTTATGGGTGCAATATTAAAAGTTAGTAAAAATTCGAAGGGCATTTGAAGAGACATTTAATCCAGCACTGTTGAAAAAGAATAAAGTTTAAATTAAATTAAATTAAATTTCTTTATTATATCTGCTATTTCCGAAATTATACACCACCTACATAAACCATCCCCCTCATGAAATACCTTCTGCAGATTAATTCAAATAAACTGTATTTGTCTACAATAAATTTTTAACGGAAGTCGATACTGGACTAAAGTAAATCGAAATTTAATGTCTGTAGAATGACACGCAGTTATCAAATAACAGCTCGCTATAAATCTTCCCAGACTCTGCTCAGATTAATAGACTGAAGTTGAAATTACAATCGATCATCTTTTAATAAAAAAGAGATTCCTTACCATACATTTCCAAAGCCAAGCATTTTCAAGCTAAACAATCGATATACTACAAAACGCAGAAGACGTTGTCTAATTGAACAGTGTATGCGATAAATGAATGTAAATAGAGTGCAAGGTTTATTAAAATTACCAGACGCAAATCGTGATTTCAATCTGTTTAGATCTCATCAGCACGCCACAGGTAGTCTCGATGTGTTACTGGTAGAAACTCTTAAAAAGGAAGTGAATGTAATCCTATCCAAACAAAGGATGCTATTAGGTATTTCATGTGTATACTCCAGTAACCTCAAGTACCACTAGATGGCGATGCTCTGACTACTTAGCAATTTCAATAAATAATTATTGCAAAAATCTGCTTTTGGGCAATTGTATTTCATCTTAACACCTACCTAAGCTTGAGATAAAAAGTACCTACACTTGGTTATGGATAGAAAAGAGTAGAGGTGCTGTCCAACCAGTCTTATAACTGACGACTTTATGATGATGAGTTGGTTGTGGAACCCTCCCTTGATCCACACACTTCCTTATGTCTGATTTTTTTCAAATAAAAACTTTTATTTGTCTTGCATCTTGTGTGGTTCATTTCAAATTCTGATGTTTCTTAGATTCCGACGAATTCTACTTTTTTTAGTAGTTTATCTCTTAAGCTGTCTTTAATTACAATCATTAGCTGCAAAAAAGGTCATTAGTAGACTGAACCTCCCCGTTAGGTACGGGAGCCAATGAATTTCGGGTTTTTAGGTACCGAACAAGACGTGTGTTAGGAAACGTGACGGTATTGAGGAGGAAGCTTTATTAGATTGCACCTTTCTGAGTGATCGTTTATTTTATGTTCGCGTCGCTAAATGCCACGCTAAATTAATGCACGAGAGAGGAGTTACGTTTCTGGATCATTACATTTGTACAAGTTAACGCTAGAGAAACGACAGGTACAATCACCAATTATCCCGAGAACGACTACTGAAATAAATAGGGGATAACGACGATTGGCAATTTAGTGATCATTTAAACCTAATTTATGTAATAGTAAGTAACTGAAAGTAAGCTGTTGTAATGTAAAGGACTTCAATGCCAAATGATTAGATTTGCTAAAATACAGGAGTGAAGATTTATGATTGCTTTATTTTACAATTATTAAGAAACTGCGCATGAAAACAAGAGTGAACCATATTTAAAGTAGTACTGACAGAAAATTAATTTCAACTAAAACTATTTTTGTGTATTACAGATATCACGCATCCCAACTTCTTCCCGTTTTGAGTCAATCTTCGTATTTCTTGAAATCTAGAGCAGTCTGTATACATTTTTAACTATTTGCAAATAGCAATCTAGGTCTACTTTTACTCCTCTTAACTCCTACTCATACTTCCAATATGTTCCTATGAGGTGAGTAGTTAAGTAGACGGGGTACTGAATCATATCGATTATCTGTCCATCAGCATCATATTACATCATGTAATGTAAAGGGCTTCAATGCCAAATGATTAGGTTTTTCTTAGATATCGAACATCGGCGAACTCTTGTGGGTTTCTCCTTCCTCAGATACAAACAGTTTTGATATATTTTAGTTTATCTCCATTCCATACCTATCTGTCAATACCATTTTGGTTTAGTTATATAAATCTTCTTAAATAAAACAGTACACACCAGAAACTTCTGCTTCAAGAGTGTTCAAGAGT